AATGGCTAATTCAAACCCTCGATGCAATTTGCGTTGTCATCACTGCGCCGGCCCTCTTTCCAAAGAGATGGTAATAATCTTCACTTACATATCAAGTTTGCTTTCTTTTTTTCTAGTGATTGTTGTGTTAAAAGATTTTAATCTTTTTAATGGTGCAGGAAACAAGTGAATGGACTGTTGCTCCACTTGTCAGGGACAGTTTTTCAATGGTAAAATTTATCACATTCTTTTCTTCCATTGTAGGGATCTATATTTGTTTTTGCTTATGTTTTTTTCTTGGGATTTTGTATATATATCGCCAGTTCAATAGAACTGGGCAGTGGACATTTTGTTCTTGTAGTTTTTGCTTAATCTTTTATTTCGATAGATTCTTACTTTGGAGGGTGGTTTAGTTAGTGTGTATATTGTTGTTGTTTTAGATTGGCTCTGCGGTTGGCGGGACAACCAGCGCCTTCTACGGATTCAACCATGGTATAATGATCTGTTTCTCCTTTTTTTTCCTTCACTTGTTAGATGCAGTTCAGTTCATATGACTTGATCATGTTGCTGTAACTCGAGCTTTTATGCATCTCTCATGGCTTCTTCAATGGCATATTGCTATTAGCGTATTATCTATTTATGCATTTTACTACGCATAGTTGTATTCTTTTAACTCCTTTCAATACTTCAAACTTAACTATACTCACCCAAATCAACTTATCTCACTTTAATATTCCTAAACATACAAAATCTCACTAGCATACTTGAAACCAAAAATCATACCAATTAATGAACATTGTTCTGAATCCTTTCTAACACTTAAGGTTTCTTATTCCAACATATGACACGTCAAATTTCATTTTAAAATTCATTTACAAACTCTTTCTCAACAATTCACTCACAAATCCTCCTTTACTTAATCATCCATAACTTATCTATCTTTTAGTTTTAAGCAACCCTAAACTTTCCTTAAGCTTATGGATCACCCAAAGACCAAAGACCAAACTTAAAATTAAAGAAACAATCAACTTGTAAGGGACTCACCGTTGAAATGGAACTTCACGGTTAAAGGAAGAAGAAGAAGAAGAAGAATTTCTATATACTTCTTCCTTTCCCACTTCTTTGCTTAAATATCTAATAGAATGAATTTTAAAATCTTTTCTTGCCTAAATGCCATTTTGCCCGTCCATCATTCAGTCTTTGCTAATACATCCTACACAAAGAAATTCCACTTAAATCCTTGAACTTTTCAATTATCACAATTTAATCATCAAGTTTTTATATATTTCACTTTGGTCCCTAACCCGGTATTTGGGATGTTATAGTGGCCTTGATTGTTAAAGGAAGTGTTTTTTTTAGGTCTTGGGTTTGAATAGTTGTATTTGCATTTTATGTACGTATTGTCAATAATTAAGAAAAATTATGAACATTTATATTGTCTTGTAATAACCTTATATAATTAAAAGAAAAAGGAGTAGTATACGAAAGAATTGTGCTTTACAATTATTAGTGAAAGAACTCTTTTATTTTACATCACACAAAGAATGGACATAGACTGAAGAATCAGAATATATTGCTTTTTAGTTCCATGAACACATCTATTATTATAATATCTAAAAAAATATAGGTTCAAATGCATTTAAATGTATAAATAGTCTCTAATTTAATAATTTTAAATATGACATAAAATAATAAAAATTTAAAAATTAATTAGTAACTAAGTAAATGCCTAAAAAGTTAAAGTTTCATTGAAAATAATAAAATAATTCCTCAGTTATATTCTAATAAGGGTAATAACACGACCTAATAGAGTCCGAAGAAAAGTAAGATTAACATTTTTAAATTTATTTCAGTAAGGTTTAACATTTTCGTAAATAATTAATTTATATTTTTAATAAATAAACTTCAATACTACATAATGCTTTATTTAGTCCAAATTATTAAATGATTTAAATAGAACTTAGGGTCTTTATAACAAAAATTGAAAGATAAATTCATTTTTTTAATTTAGCGACTACCGATATTCTATCTTTTTCTGCTCCTTTTCACTTTTTTTTTCTTCACACAAAATATTTTTTAGATTTTATTTTTATTTTAAATATTACATTTAAAATTATCATTTAATTTCATGTGTTGGTTTAAACTTCATAGTGATCTAATTTAAAACATAAAAAATATTATTCATTTTTATTTTGAAATATGTATTTAAACTGTTGGTGTGCAATGTAACATAGAAATTGATTTAGTATTTATTTCTAACATACGCTTCATATAACAATAGCCATAAGTTTAGTCCTTAATATCGCTGTCACTTTCCCTTCTTCTTTTCATTACTTTGAACAAAAAAGAAATAATGCCATTCATTTGATTAAGTAAAGATATATTATATTTTAAGATAAATGTCAAGGGCTCGAACTTATAAGATATGCACGAATTAACTTACAGTGATTAAAGGAATCACTATTGTTCCTAGAGGATATGAGTTCGAGCACCAGCAACTGTAAGAGTGATTGAACATTCATTCTCAAATAATTGAGAGTATTTAGAACAAATATTACTTTGTAATTAATTTAGCTTAATAAAAAAATTATATGATCACTCGGTCAACTAAAGGATATATATTAGGTAAATTCTTTAAGTTACGCCTATGTGAGTAATTAAACTCTTATTTAATCATTTAATAAAATTAAAATAATTACTTGAACCCCAAGAAAATCAAAGCCTAGTATTATTCTTTTACACTTAAAGACCCTCTATATAAAACAAAACTCGGTTTCAGAAACATTCACAACAAAACTCTAAAACCCTTAGTTCTTCCCCTCCCCCCCAACCCCCAACACAAGCTATGGAGATGGTGCTAACAGTAGGAAAGGGCAATGTGAGGCCAAAGACTTCAAGGTCCGTCGAGATGATAGGGAGGCTCTTGAAAGCTGGTATGAACGTTGCTCGTTTCAACTTCTCCCATGGTTCACCGTTCACATGCATACCACCAGGAGACCTTGTATAATCTAAGGACCGCCATGCTCAACACCGGCATCCTTTGTGCCGTTATGTTGGATACAAAGGTTACCCTTTTTTTCTTTCTTTGCGTTCTTTCATGTTTTAACTTTACTCCTCAGGAGGAATTTTTAATTTCCTTGCAATGTTTTCTTCTCTTTTATCGGTTATATGAATATTCCAGGGACCGGAGATCAGAACCGGCTTGTTGAAGGACGGGAAGCCCATACAACTCACTTAGGGCAAAGAGATTTTTATCACCACTGACTATAGCATAAAGGGTGATGAGAATCTGATCTCTATGAGTTATAAAAAATTGGCTCAAGATTTGAAGCCTGGGAGTGTTATTTTGTGTTCTGATGGGACAATTACATTATTATATTGGATTGTGACAAGGAACCGCGATCGGTCCGTTGTCGTTGTGAACTCTGCAGTTCTTGGTGAAAGGAAGAATGTCAATCTTCCAGGTGTTGTGGTTGATCTTCCCACATTGACTGACAAGGAAAAGGAGGATATCTTGTAATGGGGTGTTCCCAAACATGATTGCCTTGTCCTTTGTTCGTAAAGGCTATGATCTCATCGAGGTCCGCAAGCTGTTGGGAGAGCATGGGAAGAACATCCTTCTAATGTCAAAGGTTTGCAATTTGTTTTACATATAGACAATAAGAGAGTTGGCAGTTAATGTGTTCGATTCTGTTTTAACAATTTTTTGTGGATTCTCAGGTTGAAAATCAAGAAGGGGTTGCAAACTTTGATGACATTCTAGCAAAGTTGGATGCATTTATGTTGCAAGAGTTGATTTGGGGATGGAGACACCGATTGAGAAGATATTCCTGGCTCAGAAATTGATGATCCTTAAGGCCAATATACAAGGAAAGCCTGTGGTGACTGCAACTCAGATGCTCGAGTCTATGATCAGATCTCCAAGGGCAACACGAGCCGAAGCCACCGATGTTGCCAATGCGGTTCTCGATGGTACCGACTGTGTCATGCTAAGGGGAGAAACTGCTGCCGGATCATACCCTGACCTTGCTGTTCAAACCATGGCCAGAATTTGCATGGAAGCCGAAAACTTTTTAAACTATGGAGATCTTTTCAAGAGAATAATGGAGACTGCACCGATGCCAATGAGTCCCCTAGAAAGTTTGGCTTCTTCGGCTGTGAGTACAGCCAGTTGCATTAAAGCCTCTTTGATTTTGGTCCTAACCAGAGGTGGAACCACCGCAAAGCTGGTGGCTAAGTATAGGCCAAGAGTGCCTATTTTGTCTACGATCATCCCGTAGATTACGACAGATTCCCTCGAGAGGTCATGCAGCGACAAAGCTCCATCCAGGCATTTCCTTATTTTCAGGGGTCTTATCCCGGTTTTAAGCTCCGGTTCGGCAAAAGCTTCGTACACTGAGCCAACCGAGGAAGCAACCAAGTATGCTCTTCAATATGGAAAGGAAAATGGGCTAATCAAACCTGGAGATTCAGTTGTGGCATTGCGCCCTTCAGTGATTAAGATCTTGACAGTTTGTCAAATTTTGAACAATTTTTTGGTATTTTAACCATTCGAATTCCTTCTATTTAGCAAACAAATTTTGATTAAATGTAGGAGAACAATTTCACATGAATGAGGAAGTAGTTTAATACAATTGACCCATTTCAGGAGTTTATTGATATATATGTGTATATTTATATATATTCTTTGTTTTATAACAGCTACAAAAAGACAGGCTTAATACAGATATATATGCAGAAAAAATGTTCAATTATCATCTCTCTATCACTTCCTGGAATAGTCTCTGATGAGGGAGCTGAAGTGGATTCACTTTGGGAACCTGATAAGGTGCCTAAACCATCATAAGGCCGTGGAATAGGGATCCAATACCTTCTAACAGGTCCTACCCTGCCACTACTTTGAGCATTTCTGTTGGCATTAGGTTCAATCTTCGAATCGTCCAATGGCAACTGACACCGGCAAACCGGACAAGAGCTATGGAATTCCAGCCATGGAAGGATGCACCCATAGTTGAACTTATGCTTACACGGCATCTATTTCGCTTCAGTTCCAATCTCAATATACTCCGAACATACTGAACACTACAAATTGTCTTTGATGGCAACAGTTGGCAATGCTTCAACTGCTTCTTTTTGTGCCGGTAGGGTTCCTTATCGGTTCTCGAACATATACTGCAACAAAAAATCCCAACCAGGTCCCATGGTGTATTCACCACCAAAGGAACTAGCCGACCTACGACTCGGGTTTCGTCTGTGGTTGATATCGAATGAACCTTGAACGATCAAGGCTTCTTCATTGATCGGATCAAACAAAACCATTATACCACTTGTATCTCTACCATTTTCAGAGTTATCTGATTCAGAGGCTCCTAATGTACGCATATCCTGAAGCATCCTAATAGCTGAAGTTGAACTTCTTCTTCTCCCGAGTTCACTGTCTTCCATTGAGTCTTGTGAGTTGGTGCCATTGATTTGATCCTGGCCTGCGGTGCGCGAGTGCGACGGACTTAAACCGCCCATCAAACCGAGCAAGATGAGAGTCCAGAGTGAAAGATTGTGCACTGATCCTGAATCAATGGCGTTGGCGTTGGAATGGTTTCTTAGACTGTCCATTTCTTCAACAAATCCAGAGTCACAGAAAAGGCATTTTATTTCGGGATGTGTCATTGGATTCCCCACTTGAGAACACATGTAACACCAATACCTACTTGCATGCCTATCCCCCATCTTTCTCTTCAAAGTTCATAAACAAAGATATGAGAATTCAAATCACCACATAGATAAAATTTAACTGTTGTCAATTCAAATCCCGACATCTATAAATCTTTTCTTCTTAGCAATTAAAATATGATTCGATGCGGATATATGAATTTATCAAAATAACGAATCAAAATCAATATAAATAAATAACATCTTGAACATGACTAAGACATGAGAAAATAATATAAATACTAGGAATAGATCACTATAAACAAGGTTAATCCCAAGACACAACGTTGTTAGAAACTTAAGCACAAAGAAGAATCCTTGGGGAAGATTAAGATGGGATAGTATTGCCTGCTTATATCATCTTCCAGAAACCAACTTATAAGTGATAAAGAAAAACAAAAGAAAAAAAGCACATTCTGAGAAAACAAAAATGTAAAAGATGAGTTTTTTTTAATGGCACCTTTGAGATGGAGGATGAGGGGAATAGTTTATATGAATTTTTTTTTCTAAAGTTAATGATAATTATTGGTGATTTTGGTTTAGTTATAATTTTTTTATGTTATAGGAGATATGCTTATTTTAAGGGATAAAAATAGATGTGATTTTAATAAATAATTTTTAGAAATATAAAGCTCCTTTTGATGAGTTTATTGGGGTATGTAGGGCTTTAGATGATATTGTTGCCCAATGAATTAGCAGCCCAAACCAGATGAAGATTTCAGGGGAGTCTAGGGTTTTCACCACTATAAATCTGGAAAGCCATTACTTTCTCCGCTAACTACTTGATCTTATCTGAGCAGAGGAATCGAGGGCTTCCTTCTCTCTCAGCCGCCCTGTGCCTTACGGCGCTGCCGGTGGCTCCGTCTTAGGGCGGAAAGAGGGTGGGTTTCGAAGCCCCTCGTTGTTTTCTGCAGTGAAGACTGCCCGCAGTCGAGAGCCTTCAATGAAACCCAACATTGTCGGCAGTGATGGCATCGCGGGCTAAATTCCCAGTTCAAAAGTTTTTCTAACATTAATTCTTTGTTCATCTTAGAGTCTGCCTTTTTTTTTTCTTGTGGTTTTGTGCCTAATGTATCCAATTATTCAAATCACTCCAGTAAAAGCTAGAACAGAACCCTATTGAAAACAGAGTCCAAGATGGTAAATAAACTGGAAATTTATCACATTCAAAGTCACCATTAAACAAGACAACAGAGTTGATGTAAACATGAAAAGATTTGGGATTGTAATGAAATGGTATTAGGTTGTTTGTGGATTCTGATTCGATTGTGTTTTAATTTAGACATATTAAGAGAGAACAAACCAACCATTTTTTGGCATCTTTACAGGGACATTGCAACAACGATTTTGGTTTCTGCCTTCCCACTTCATGTATTTGTTTGATGAGAGGTGGGAATTTCATAGACAACTTTTTATTTCTAATTATACTTGTTTTTGGATAATTACCCTATATTTAGACATGGTATTGAATCTGAATTCACTTAATTAATAGGTTTGATTTTAGGGATGTCTTTAAAATACATATTATATTTGTTCTTCTTTGATTCTTCTAGTTCAGTAACATTGAAGTAGTCTAATCTCAAATTCCCAAACCAACATAAGCCAGATAAAACAAAACAAAAACTCTATCTAGAAAATTTAACTTGAACACATTTAAGGAGAAGAAGAAGGCTTGGTAGCAGTCCTAACAGAAGACCAAATCTGGGCAAAAACATGAGGCAAAATACTGTTGATGCCATTGAAAGCAGCCCCAATTGCGAAAGTATCCAAATACCTCGGCATCGAGAGAATATTTCAGGGGGGATAAAATTTTACCAGGCAACCCCTCAGGATCCCACTTGTAAAACATCAGTCTCCCTTATGATATCAAGCTTGAGCTTTCTTCTACAGATTTTCCGCTTTAAATAATAAAGAACCAACTCTTCATCGGAACCTCGATGGCCACACTTGATCGTCGCCAATGCGTGAATCAGTCGTCACCGTAATTTCTCTTGGTGATAAAAAAAACTTTTTATTTTTCCCCCTTTACGATATATTTTTCTTTTAAAAAATTGAAACTTTCTGACAAGAAAGGCAAAAACTCATGAAAGCCAAACTTTAAAAGAGTTGAATTATTTCACATGATGTAGAATTTGAAAGTGAATCTTGGGGTCTAATCAGTACGAGCAAATTTATGATTTTTTTTTAGCGAAACAAAAAGAAAGAAGAGAGGATTGCAGTGCGTGCTGCATTTGTTCGTTTACTATTAGGTTTGGATTTTGGAGAATGCCAAACAACATTCATCGGCAGAGCTTCTCAACAAAATGTTGAATGACAGCTTTAATGGCAAAGACAAAGAAGAAGATTGAACTCAACCAGACCGAAAATATAAGGACCATCCATATAGATTACCCAATTCTCTCATCATGTGCATCTTCAAACTACCATAGAAAACGGGTAACATTAAAACAACCAAAAAAATAAAATTTTAAAAAGTACGTTATCCAATACGTTTTCTAATACTCTTTCAGATAGAAAATTATTCATCACAATAAAAAAAAGGGTAAAGTATAGTAGTGGTCACTGAACATTTCTGAAGCTTGCATTTAGGTCCCCTAACATTTAAAACTTGCAATACAGTCCCCAACATTTATTCCGTTTGCAATATGGTCCCCCAACTTAAACCACAGTTAGAAAATTAGGATAAATTATATAAACGGTCATTGAACTTTTCAGTCACTTGAATTTAGGTCCCCCAACTTTTAAAACTTGCAAAACAGTCATCATTTTCATTCTAAACCCCAATTTCCAAAGTAATTCAATTTTATTCTAAACCCTAAATTCTAAAATACTTCAATTAAATTCTAAAATACTTCAATTTAAGGTAATATAGGCTTGAAGAAAGAGTTCAAGGCACAGACACAACGAATAAAAATATATTTATATAAATGTATATTTATATTTAGATGTATAAATAAAAAATATATTCATATATTAATGTATGAATCATTTATATTTTTTGAATATTTTATTTTTATTAATAAATTAAAATTATTAATTATATTAGAAATACTCAACTTAAGATTATATATATAATCATGAATTATAAATATGAAAAATATAATTATTAAATTTAGTTTAAAAATATATAAATCTTAAATTTATTCTTTTAAAATATTGTATCAACTAATATTTAAAAAACATATTAAATCTATCAAACAATTTATCAAATATAATATTTTTTTATTGTAAAATATAATATTTTCCCATCATTTATTGCTTTCAAATTTTTTGCCGAAGTTCAAATCTCATTATTTCCATTTTACATTATTCTTTTTTTTTTCTGGCATTGATCATACTATTAGTATATGTATTATTGTATATCTCTTAACACAAACGATGGTGTTAGCTTAGTGGCTCCACCCTGTATCTTTCATTTGCGTGACTCAGGTTTGAGTTTGCCCAAGACCCAAATTTTACTTCTTTGTAACTTAATTTTCTTCTAATTAGGAGGTGACATGTGTCACCAATAACACATATCATGATCATGTGTTAACACATGTCAGATCCTGATTAAATGATTAATTTATTAAATTTTATTTAATTTAGGACCAATTGATAGCATATAAATAATTAGGTGGTAACATGTGTCACCAATGACACGTGTCATGATCATGTGCTAACACATGCCAGATCCTAATTAAATGATTAATTTATTAAATTTTATTTAATTTAGGACCAAATTGATTATATAAATAATAAAGACTGAATGTATAATACCAATTCCTTTTAACTGCCACATCATCATTTTTATCAATTGGTAACGACTAGTGGCTTAGTTGAAACAGTTAAATAATTATGTGGTATGATTGATAAATTTAAAAGATCGATGACAAAAGTAAAAAGGGCTAGATAGTTAAGTTGTCAACCGAGTAGTTTACATTTTTATTTATACGTCAAATAACATTTTATAAATTTAAAATTCGAATTATTTTCAACCTCTTCTATATCCTAACTACTTTTTTAATTAAAAATTTCTTCAACAGATAAGAATTATACTATTATTTATATAAAAAATATGTATCACATGAAATAAGATGAAATTAAATAATAATAAATTTGACATAATTGAATTTAATTTAAGTATTTTGGAATTTAGGGTTTAGAATAAAATTGAATTACTTGGAAATTGGGGTTTAGAATGAAATTGATGACTGTTTTGCAAGTTTTAAAAGTTGGGGGACCTAAATTCAAGTGACTGAAAAGTTCAATGACCATTTATATAATTTATCCTAATTTTCTAACTGTGGTTTAAGTTGGGGACCATATTGCAAACGGAATAAATGTTGGGGGACTGTATTGTAAGTTTTAAATGTTTAGAGACCTAAATGCAAGCTTCTCAACAAAATGTTGAATACCAGCTTTAATGGCAAAGACAAAGAAGAAGATTGAACTCAACCAGACCGAAAATATAAGGACCATCCATATAGATTACCCAATTCTCTCATCATGTGCATCTTCAAACTACCATAGAAAACGGGTAACATTAAAACAACCAAAAAAATAAAATTTTAAAAAGTACGTTATCCAATACGTTTTCTGCTTATCCATCACAATAAAAAAAAAATAATCCATCACAAGCCGTTCATTTACAACACGACAAAAACATTCAACGGCTGAAGCTAACCTTTAGAGCTGAAAATAACAAACAAACCTGGCAAACCAAATCCAACTGAGAAAAAGGAAAAAGAGAGAGAAATAAATCACTTTCGCTTTAGAACTTTAAAGAGACTGCTAAGAAAACTCTCTCTCTTCATTATATTTTAATTATCGTTGAGATTAAACCAAATCCATATTGATTTTTGTTGCGAGAAAAAGTAAAAGAAAAAGAAAAACTAGCTATGGCTGAAGTTTTGGGGAAGGCAAATCTGTTCCCGACTGGTCTCTATAGTCAGAAGAGGAATTTAGAAGGTGGAGCTTGTTTGGTTCCTAAGAAAATTTCTGGATTTTGTTTGAAAAAGAACACTTTTTTTTCTTTGAAGGTGAAATCTCTCGCTTCGAGTAGTGATTTTAATGGTCAAAGAGTGGGTTTTTTGGAGAAGAAAAATATGAACAAGAGAAGGTTTTCTCAAGTTCCCATCAAAGCACAGGTTTGATTTAATTGACTTTACATCTTTTTTTAATTCAATTTCTAGATCTGTGTTCTTCTTTCTTTCTTATTTTTTTTTTGGAAAAGTGTGGCTATGTTGTTATTTCTTTAGTGAATTAAGCCTTTTTCGTCCCCATAACTTGATCTGCTGCATAGATCGATAAATAAATACTAATTGGTTTCACCCCCCTCTGGATTTTTTCAATGGAATCAGATGAAAACTGGACTTATTAGTCGAGGTCAAAAATGGTGGGAGAAAGGACTTCAACCAAATATGAAAGAAGTTACATCTGCACAAGAATTGGTCGATTCTCTTTTGAATGCCGGTGATAAGCTTGTTGTGGTTGATTTCTTCTCCCCTGGTTGTGGTGGTTGCAAGGCTCTTCATCCCAAGGTGTGTGTCTATATATTTATATACTCTTTCATGGTTGTGTGCTACATGTTTTTGTGTTGTTTGGATTTGGATTGATTGTGGATTTGGATGTTGGATTTGGCAGATTTGCCAATTTGCAGAGATGAATCCAGATGTGCAGTTCCTTCAGGTGAATTACGAGGAGCATAAGTCGATGTGCTATAGTCTTAATGTTCATGTGTTGCCTTTCTTCCGGTTCTATCGAGGCGCTCAGGGGCGTGTATGCAGCTTTAGCTGTACTAATGCCACGGTCAGTCTCGAATCCTTCCTTTCAGATGCCAATTTTATCAGACATGGTTCTATTCCATTTTCTGCTCTTGATTTTTTTATGTAAGATGCATCCCCTTGAATGTTTAGGACTTTAGTTTCATTAAGAAAAATGCATCTTAGTTTGGATAAATTGGTTTTTTATTATTTTCTTTCGTTAAAGACGTAATAGTTAGATGCAATGAAATTTGCATGCAGCGTTTCTTTGTTGATTTTTGTTTTCTGGATTGTTCCGATTGCTGCTCATCAGAGGCAGTGGATTTTGCATCTTTCAAAACTGCATGATTATTTCTTCATAACTATCATTTTAGGATCGATCATGTTTATCGTGGTATGTGTTCTAAATTACAATTACAATTCAACAGATCAAAAAATTCAAAGATGCATTAGCCAAACACACACCAGACCGATGCAGCCTTGGGCCGACAAAAGGGCTCGAGGAGAAGGAGCTTATGGCATTATCTGCAAACAAAGACCTTCCCTTCCACTACACACCGAAACCAGTTAAACCAACTCCTGCTCCCATGCATGAAGAGACTCTTGTATCAAAACAAGATCCATCTCATTCAACAACAAAGCTCCCGCTTTCAGTCCCAACGACATCCTTAAAGCGAAGGGACAGCGAGGAAAAAAGCTTGATTGGTGCTGGGAGACGATGAAGTATTCGATTTCCTGCCACCCCAACAGTACTTATTACAAAGTACTATTCACTGGTTCATGTTAGAAGTGAAGAAGAGGTGTATCTTGTCTCCCATGGAGTTGCAGGAATATTTGGATTTATTTTTTTGTATCCTAGCCCTGCTTGATTCAACGGTTGGTGTGAGCTGACCAAATCTAGTGTATATTTTTTGAGGAGGTATTTTAGTTTTCAAGGGAAAACCCCCTTTGTGAATGTAAAAATGTTGTGGTTATTGTATGGATGCTGAGAGCCTTTTCCTTGGCAATTTGACCAAACTGACACTGTTTAATCGAATATTTACCTCTTTAGTACCGTTTGATATATATTTCCCGAAGTGATACCCTTTCGACTGAGTTGGCGAAAGACGCATCCTCGGGGACGCGTTTTACCCGGGTTTTCGCTGAGTTGGATGCCACGTGTGGAAGGCACATCCCCGGGGACGCGCTTTCACGGGATTCTGATGACTCGGCTGTCACGCTGGTATTTTGTTTAATAATAAATATTTTATTTTTATTATTATTATAAATTAGTAATATATTATGTATAGTGTTTCGATTATAATGTAAGAATTATCAAATGTATTTTGTTAATGTGTTAAAGGTGGAGTGAATTATATACATTAATATGATAGAACATATATGAAACCAGTTTTGATTTTATTGTAGTTATAGGAAAAATGTATGAAATTATATTATATATGGTTATATTATTATTTTTAATTTTGATTATCAATCTATTAATTTGATCAGTTAATTATTTAAATGTTATCAATTTAGTCATCTCTTATCAATATTTAACGAAAATATTGATGCATAAGTTAATAAATTAGTATAATTACACATTTAATCTTCAAGACTTACATATTTTATGAATTTAATCTTATTGAAAATTTAATTTAATAAATTTAATCCTCCAATCAGAACATGAAATATGTCATCGTATACATAAATTTTTTAATAACTTTTAATTTGTTTAATTTAATATTTTTCTCTACTTAGAAGGTGTAATTATTATTATATTTTAAAAAAATTTATAACTAATAATATTAATTTTTATATTAAATAAATATATTAAAAATATTTATGTATTTAAAAGTTAAAAAAATTATTTAGGTGTACATACATTGACAAATTATATAAAATGCAATAACATTAAATTATTAGAAACAAAAACATTCATTTAAATACAATATTAATTACATAAGATTTAACGGTTATATGATGATAACAGAGCTGAACATTTTTTTCTATTGTGCCTGATGTTTCTATAATGCCCACATCGTTTTTGTTCTGTTGACTTCTCCCGAATATCCATATCATAATGTATTCTAGTAGATTTTGGACGACATGAGTCCCTCAATAGCAATGGATCTGGTACAATTGTAAGCCAAGTTTGAATCTCATTTGGGTCTCTTTCATTTCCTATGGGCGGAAACTCAAATTCATATACATTGAATACTTGTGAAAGTTGGTATATGGGATCAACATAATTTTTGTAGTCCAAATGCGAATGTGAGCAAGCTGCAATGACATGATAGCATGGATATTTGAGTGCTTGAAAGAAACCACAATCGCACCACCTCTCTTGCAGATTAACTCTGAAAGGGTTAGCTTCAATCCCTTGCAGCGGACGTGGCATTTCGGTTACACAAAACAATTCACGGGTGCGAGAAAAATTTGTAACTAACATCACATTTGATGTAGTCACTTTTTTCTGTAAATCAGCTACTAGTCTTGGGTGGTAAATATGGCCGTTTTGCATCCAAGTAAGAGCTTGTCCACCGAGCTTTGCAAAGAGTTGACCCAAACGAAAATAAGTCGCTTTAACCAACGCCGTGACTGGTAAATGATGCGTCCCCTTTAAGGTTGAATTTATTGCTTCAGCCAAGTTTGTTGTCATATGACTATAGCGATACCCCCTGTCATACGCATTTGTCCACATTTCTTTACTGATGTCCATAATGTACTCGCACCATTTCTTATTTTTGCCAAACAGCTCTTGTATCATCGACTCAAGCCTTCTATTATTTTGTCAGAGAATATGTTATCATTGCCCTATTATGTCACTCATGTCCCTCGGGGACACTATTCATATCAGTACCTATTATTTCTCAGGGGACTTGAAGGCTCGTTCCCAGGGGGGCGCCTTCCATTATTTTGTCAGAGAATATGTTATCATTGCCCTATTATGTCACTCATGTCCCTCGGGGACACTAGATGGATTGTGAAATCAGGTAAATTATAACCAAAATTTAACTTCTTTTGAAAGTTCAGCAAGTTAAGAATAAAATTATACATATAGATTAATTTAAGTTCATAACTTAAATTAAAACGTTATGTGAAGTTTGAATAAATTAGATAAAATGTTATAGATAAATTAGATAAAATGGTATGGATAAATTGAATAAATGTGAAGTGATAAGTTGATTGTGACATTGAAATTGTATGGAATGAGCATCGAGATGTTTTTACGAATAAATGTGAAGTGATAAGTTGATTTTAATGTATACGTTTTAATATATATGTTAATGATAAATCATATGTATGGATAAATTTAATTTCAATTTAAGTATTGTGAACTATAATTGGAATATAACTTTTAATTTCGAATACAATTGGAATATTAAGTTGAAATTTAATGTTAAATTTCGAATACTATAATTTATATTTTAATTTTAAATTTCGAATAATATTATTTTTATTTTAAATTTTGAATTTTGAATAATATAATTTGTATTTTAAAAACATTTATCAAACATTTAATGTTAATGTGAATAAAAAATAACATTAAAAATGTATGTAACAACCATGAAACATTTAAATAACATAACCAAATTATATAAAATTCTGAAATATAACTATTTAAATAATATTAAAATACAACTGGATCACCGATGTCGTCTTCTCGAATGAGTTCCACATGGCGGTAGTTGTCTATTTCGTGGAGGATTTCTTCGTGGAACTTGTTCTTCAGTCTCATCATCTTCACTATCATTATCAGCAGCATTTTCTTCATTTGGTGTAGATGACGCTGAAGGGGCTGTAGGGCCTGTATAAAATAACGACCCTGGATGAGTGCTAGTAACAATCCCACAGCTCCCCGGGAACTGTGAAAACTGTGGAAACATTGGCATCGATGTCTGTGATCCAGATGGATATTGAGGTGTCTGTGGAGAAGCACCACCAGCCAAATAAGATGTATATGAACCATATGCTGGATCATTAAATATAGTCGTATATGCACCTCCATACGGTATAAAACCATGCGGGCTAGGCATGTAACATAGCGGGCTAGGAATGTAACCCTGCGGGATTGGAATGTAACCTGGCGGGCTAGGAATATAACCCTGCGGGCTCGGAATGTAACCCTGCGGAGATGGCATATGAACTGGTGGGCTTGGCATATGAAGTGGAGGGCTGGGCATGTACCCCTGCGGCATCGATGGATAAGGATATTATGGTGGGACTGATGCAGAACCGGTAGCACCTTCTCTCCGTCCACGCGTCGGGGGACGATGATATTGAGACGGTTGACGTCTTTCTCGGCGCCTAGGAATGCTAACCCCTCGTGCTTCCGCCGAAAGTAGAAACAACTTCCCATTTTCATTAAACCAGTCCATATAGTTATCCGTAACCATATGACCAGTTTCAGCGTAATATTGTCGAGGGGCCAACAGTGCATATCGATTCTCCCAAAGCGCAATCCAATCTCTGTGTCTCACCACCCATTTAACCTCTTTCTTTCCTCGTCTATCTATGTTATGCACGTCGTCTAAATTCCTAGGTGCTCCAGGAATATATTGCGTACAACCATACTGACGGAGCACGCGATCAACTGGATGCCACTCAATAATAGCATAACATATAAGAGGTATAACCGACATCCATACCTCTAATGACCCACTAAGGTGGGGTGGGATGCAAGCCTTCACTTCATCGCTCGCATAAGGTATCCACTGAAATATAAATATACAATTCAAATAAATAAAATATTCTAATTATATCTAGCATTTTAAATTAAAATATTAATATTTAAACAGATTTAAAAACATACCTCAGACCCAGCTTTCGTATAAATAAGTAAACGAATTTCCTCTAACCCAGTAGGTATACTTTTATGGTTATTTCTTTTCATCGACCACCTATGAAATATAATATAAACTAAATATCACCCTATTTAATTAAAAATATTTAAATCAAAATTTAGTTCGAAAATTACCTCAACAATAAGGGGAATACATATGGTTCATTCACGATCGGGCATAAGAAAGGCATACGGAACCACGCCCATGATTACAGAAGAAGGAGACATCCACCGATAGCAGTTTTCCTATAATTCGTCGCCCAACACATTTCTCTAAAGAGAAATGCCAAAACTGCAGCGCCCCAACTATATCTTTCAGCTTCATCAAAATAGATCAGATGCCGCAACCACATACAATACACCTGGTTGCGAGATTTATCGGGCATCAATATTCCTCCAATTATTCGTAGAATATATGCCCGAGCACATGCCTTTGCTTGATCCTCTGAAGCATTTTCATTTAAAACCTCAAAATTAGCTTTGAACCAAGATAAAGTTATTCTACCTCCATTAAACTCTGGCGGAGCAACTCCAAGATAATCAATGCACATTGACTGCCAATCACCATCCGCCATACCACACATCATATTTCCGTCGACGGGAAGCCCCAGATGCATAGAGACATCCTCTAATGTAATTGTAGTCTCTCCACATGGAAGGTGAAAAGTGTGTGTCTTGGGCCTCCACCTCTCAATCAGTGCAGAAATTAGGACAGGTTCGAGTTTGCAACTGCCAATAATTGTTGCAATATACCCGAACCCGACAGAAGCCAAATATGGCAAAATACGTTTCGGTGTTAGTATACGTGGAATTTTAATAAACGCTCTAAAATACGATCAACATCCTAAATAATATGCATTATAAAAAATTAAAATTAATATAAATTCATAATAACTTTAAATTAAAAATAAATTTAAATATTAACATTAATTATAAAAAATATATTATCATATCGCTAAAATGTCTAGAGATATGATCAACATCCAATCGCAGCAACATTTCATTTTCCATTATAACTGTAGACAAAACAATATAATTAGCACACAAAAAATAATTAATAATTATAAATAAATAATAATTATATAAATATTATTTTAATAAAAAAAATAATATTTATATAATTATATTAATATAAAATATAATAACTGT